TCAGGGGGTGGCTTGCAACAAGCCGGGCAACAGAGAGGACGACGGGGCTCGGGCTGATGATCCTAACGCCTTCTGCTCCCGCCGCTGCCCCGGGTGCCCTGCCCAGGCACCTGGCCCTCACCCCGAGCCTGCAGCAGACAGCACAGCGACGGACCTGTGCTGCTTTTTTCCACTGCCTGAAACGGCTGCAGTCTGGGCCAGCACCAATAACAGAGCACTACAAGGAAGATACTGGCGGTTCATTTTTTAATGAATTTTGTCTTTAAAAAAAGCACCAGTTAAATCAATGTCAATTACATTAAAACATGCAAGCTCCAGGACTAATCACTTTCTCTCACCCTCCTTGATTTCCCGGATACTTCAGAGAGAACCCCATCGATTACCTGTCCTCCTCAGCAGCAAACAGCGCCTGAGAGCAAGGCCAGGAGCGGGAGAAAAGCACTTCTCTCCCACGGCTGAGCAGGAGACTGTGGCAGCGAGCCCTGGGAGCGACACCACTGCCTGCCACCACTTCCCAGCCCTAAGCCGTTTGCCAGAGCTGGGAGAGTGTCTAACGGGGTCTCTCCTCCCCAGAGGCTCCCTAACATGTTCCAGTTCCCTCCTAAACCCTGGCTAAATGACCAGTCTAAGACGCCACAGGGGTAAGCCAGAAGGGGGTTGGAAAGATCTTTCTCTGATCTTCATGGAAAGATCTTTTTCTGATCTTCACTTCCCAAAATGGGTGAACGTGGAAAAGCGTTGCCTTCCTGCCTGCAGCACAGATGCTGCCCTCCACCAGCACTGGGAGCCCTGGTGAAGCCCCCTGCCCCGTGCCCAGCTGCCCCGCTCCCCAGCCATCCGGAGCCACAGTCCAGAGGACTCCCAGGCATCACACCTCCAGGATTTGCATCAAGGTACTCCGGCTTCACTCCACCATGTCTTCTCACACAGGACAAAGCCGTTAGCCAGCAGTGTGCCGCCCTCTCCCCTGCAAATGCAGCCATCTATGAGCCTGCAGCAAATGCAGCCATCTATGAGCCTGGATGCTGTCCGTCTCTCCGTGCACGGCTTAGGGGATCCAAGCAGAGGATCTGACTGCAGCCACGGTACCGTTCATACGCTGTGCTGAATGTCCTCAGCTGCCTCTGAGCAAACTGTCTTAGACATGAGGCTGGTTCAGTAAAAAGGTGTGCATAGACAAGACTGATCATGTGACACTGTTTTTTAGCCTCGATTTTAAAATTATGCTAGAAGAATTAGACTAAAAAGAAAGTTACTTCGTATTACACACCATTATTAGCTTTGTTGTCCGCTGCAATCAAAACAGTTCCTTCCACATCATTCAGTACTGATGAACAAATTCCACATCAGACATGGAGCTATCGGGGAAAAGAGTAGACAGCAGCATTGAGGCTTAACCTGTCAGACTGGCTCGGGTTTAGGTCTACATTTTAAGGACAGGAGGCCAAACTAAAATACGGGTCCCATTACAGGTATATTTATAGGCCGTGTCACAGCAGCTGTGACTGCAAATCACACCGCGTAAACAAGTAGCCACTTCGACAGAACATCGCCTTCGCAATTACTCGATCAATACAACTGAGAGCAATTCCTACAGCATGCATTTAGGAGAGCAAGAGCGCTTTTGCATGCAGATGCTAGACTTCTTCTCCTTACAAGAGACCCATAACGGCTGCAAGCAAATGTCTTCACAGGATTTTGTCGTATTTACGGCTGCAGCAACCGTTACAGTTTTTAAGCCAATCTCTTTGCCTCTCGGTAAGAAGTGATTGAAACCTTTGGCTGCAAACCCCGCATCGGTATTTAAGTGGGTGCTCTACTCCTTGCTTGGATAAAGTGTAATTATTGAGGTTGAATGCACGGATTAGGTGCACAGCCCAGCGGGGCGGGATCGGGG